AAAGAGTAGTTACTCTGAAAAGCTGAAAGCTCAGGTTTCAGCCAACGACTCCCGTCTGTGTGGGGAAGCCTGAAAAGCATCACAGGCTATAGGAAAAGACTGGTGTTGGCCCACCTGAAGGACATTGTTGACCCCCTACTAGACCCCCTGCAGTTCGCCTACCAGGCAAACAGGTCAGTGGACGATGCAGTCAACATGGCACTGCATTACATCCTGCAACACCTTGACTCCCCAGGGACCTATGCACAGGCCCTCTTTGTGGACTTCAGCTCAGCATTCAACACCAGCATCTTGGACATCCTCTACTCCAAACTGACCCAGCTCACTGTGCCTGCCCCCACATGTCAGTGGATTACTAGCTTTCTGACAGACAGGGAGCAGCAGGTGAGGCTGGGGAGTACAGAATCTGGTTGCAAAATATGTCACAAAACCAAAACGCCCACTGCTCCACTGCTCTATTCATGATATTTTAACTTCACGTTTGCACAGTGGCACAAAGTGGTGTCATCCATTTTCATATACACTGTATGGTTTAAATGATATTCAGCCTTTTCCAGTGGGGACACTTTTTTTTTCAGATAAACTGACAAATCATCCACTTTATCTCAAAGTTAGAACGGGGTCACTTGTTTTGAGTGAGTGAGCCAAGGTCAACAACAACAAAACTTAACTGGTATTCAGTTGTCACAAAGCACAGCTGTTAATGTCTTGACAAGTGCAATTTGCCAAATACTTGTGAGCTTGATCCACTTTAATTCTAATACCTGCATCTTTAATAAGAAACGTATTATTGTAAAAGATGTCAAAATAAGGATAACAGCTCTATGATACATGTCCACAAACACAGTGAGAATGTCCACAATGCTCATCAGCTGTAGCATGTGGCTTGTTTGTTCACTTTCACACCAACCACATTTTTTCCCCTCTCATCATCTTTCTGTAGCAACCCACACTGTCTGACATGACCATGTATGAGATGAACTTCTCCCTGCTGGTTGAGGACACGCTGAAAAACATTGTCCTGCCTGAGTACAGACAAATCATAGTAGAGGTAAACAGGCCCATGTGTATGTATTTTTACTCGGCATGATACTGACTTGGCTCTCTTTATTCTGGCATCAGTCATGTATTTCTGTTAAAGCACTGGAGCTTGCCCAGAATTACGCAGCAAGGCTATTAGGTTCTAGCAGTTCTTCACTGGCTGTCTGTCTGGTGTAAAGTTAATTTAAGATTCTTTGTGTTATTAAGTCAGGTTTACACCTTTAAAAAGGTATACAGTCTGCTCTGCTGCTGTCACTGTTGCTAGTTGTTGTTTCTAACAGCTTTGTTCTGTTTCCACTGAGCAGCTGCTGATGGTGGTGTCCATAGTGCTGGAGAGAAACCCGGAGCTGGAGTTCAGCGACAAGGTGGATCTGGATGGTTTGGTGAAGGAAGCCTTCAATGATTTCCAGAGGGATTGCAGCCGCTTTGAAGGAATCGAGAAACGGGTAGAGTGACTTCACTCCAACCTTTTAAGTTACAGTTTTGCTGAATTGCTAAAACACGTTTCATGAAACCATCACTCAAAAATCTTAAAAATCCAAATACTCAAACTAAAATCACAAAACCTCTGACTCGTCTGGCAAAATCAAACAATTGCTTCCAAACCATGTCACCAGCACTCAAAATCAAACAATGCTTTCAGATCATACACAAATGAGTCAATCATATACACACTGCAGCTCAGTCATTAGACACTAGATCAAAAAAAGGAGAACACAGCATCCAGGGCACGTAGTTACAAAAAAAATAGTTTATTGTATAGTGAATTTACCAAAAACCATGTTACGATCAAAAAAGAAGAAGAAGAAAAACACATCAGAAAGATTATTCTGCCTCAGGATCACGTCTTTGAGCTGGGCCCGGCCAGAGGACTTCATCTATGTCACAGGCAATGTTGTCCTTTGCCAGGCAACGGGCAAAGAAACCCTCTGGTGTGGTGGATCCAGCCTGTATCTCACCATAGGCCAGTTCCATTGCCTGTAAGAGATTTCCCCTGGCATTTGGGTTTCGGTCATAGACTTTCCACCGCCATGCAGAGCAAAAGTCTTTTGTTGGGTCGAGGAAAGTGCTGTATGGTGGAAGGAACACATTCTGTTCTTGGTCTTACTCTTCCTCGTCCTTTTTGTCCAACACCTCATATTCCTCTACTTCTCATATTCTTATCCATAGTTGATGGATGTACTGTACCTGTGCCATCTGTGCACTTTGAACTGGTTTATATTTTGTACCTTCTCATCACATAATTAGAAACAAGTGTGAACAATTTTGAATCATTGTGTGTAAACGATGACAACTGTGCTTTAGTTGTGTTTAAGTTTTGTCCTGTGTTTAGTGTTTGGCAACACAAGTTCATCACAGTGCAAATTGTGTTTTAGTGAGAATGTGTTTAGAGTTTAGCAAAAAGAGTGCATGAGATTTGCTAACAGAGTCTAAGTGCCTGAACTTGTTTAAGGTTTTGCAGAAAGAGTGATTTATTCGACAAATTGGTTTAGGCTATTGAGAATTTGGTTCAGAGAATGGGGTTTATTGTTTTAGCAATTGTGAAAAACTGTAGAAGAAGCTGTAGAAGATGCTTTATACTTAACAACTATCTGAAGAGCTGGGAAGAACATGGTGTTGTAGTAGAGCACAGTGGAGCAGAGCAGAGTGGACTGATTAGAAAAATCTACAAAAATCCAATGGCTTTCCATAGGCTTTTGGATTATTTTGGAAAATAAGCTCTGTGACAAACAATGATCTATGACACTTATATGTTTTGTTCAGCAAGATAACCTTAACAAGTGAACACCACTTTTACAATTTTTGAAGCCCAACTATGATCATGTGATGTACAAAGCTGTTGTCAGCTTATAAACTATCTACACTAAGACGTCATGACTTCAGTGTCACCACCATGGCTTCCAACTTGTAATTTGATTTTTAGCACTTACCTCTTCTACAAAATGATCTCTTAGTGTGACCTGATCTAGCTAGTGATCATGCCTGTGTCACTTTGCAAGTGCACAAGTTTAAACATAATGAGGCTGTAAAGGCGGCCTAGTGAGTAGATTAGTCTCTGTGTGTGGTGCAATTATGTGTAAAATCCCAGACAGCCTCTGTAGTCTCATTTAGCCACTTGTTAGCAACCACCTTTTTTAAGACACGTAAAAGCATAAAAAATCATGACTGGGGTATTTACTGCTGTATTTTATTTCATAGAACAAAATGTGAGAATGTATTGGTCTTGTGTTTACCACAGACCTTGCTTCAGGTGTCTTAACCTAAAACCCATTCATTCACAAACCCAGTGACTTCAGGGCTAGGGAACCGGAAGTGCAAAAATGCTGACTCAGTTCTGAGTTTTAGGACTCACTACTTCGGCACTCTGTTCAGTACATTACCAGCTAAAAGTCTGGACACACTTTGCAAGTGTGTGTCTTTTCATTTGTTGTCTGGTAATATATGTGCTCAGTCCTTATATGAAAACAATTTTTGTCACTCATAAAAAATACAGTCCTGATACCCACTGGTCTTTCTTTTATGAGTACTTTTGGGGATAGTCAAATTCTCCTTATGGCCCTAAGCAGAGAAACCTGCTGAATATCAAGAAACTGCTACATTGATCTGTTTAAAATGCTTGATATAAAGAATTTCACAGGATGTAAAACAAAACTGGTAAAGGTGGAAGTTTCAAATAGAAGTAGTCACCTGAAGGATATATCTGATAATTTTGCTTTGATTGTTTTGTGGTGTCCAAGCCTCAGATACAATGTCTGTCTCACAGACACACACACGCAGCCCTCAGGTCATCATTGCAGTAACAAGATTTCCCCTGCTGGGTACACACTCATCATGTCACTATATTTCAGCTGAAGCTTTTAGAAAAAAAAACTGTCTACATAGGAAAACACAATTAAGCTGTTGGGACAGAGCAAAAAAATGCCAAGTAAGTATGAATTAGACTTATGCGACTAGACTGTGGCTAATGTACTGAGACTGGACAGACAAGGAGTAATCTGTTTTGGAAAGAAAGGAAACCTGGGTACAATAAACCCATGAACAAGGAGCTAGTGATTTGTGTTGTATTCAGAGACGCTGGAAGTGTTTAGCTCAGACACAAGCCTTAGAACGTTGGCTACAAGTTAGGCAGGATCTCAAGGGTACTGTTTTGTTTTTACCTTCTTTGTCTGTCTCTCTTTTTTGGGGGGTGGGGGTGGGGGTTCTTTATTTCCTTCCACACCAGCACAAAGTGTTGTCTGGACAGTTCTGATGAGCCAGGGCATCTATGGTATTAAACATGTAAGCAGGACAAAGAGACAGAGGAAATGAGGCTGGGTGGGAGGGAAGAGAAATAGCAAGACCGAGTCGGCATTCAGCAAAATGCAGACGTGCTGACTCTGGAAGCATGACAAAAATGTGTCTAGCTTAATGATGTCAACTAGTGTTCTCACTGCCCCTCTGCAGTGTGTGTGCAATATATGTGTGGGTGTGTCTGCATGAGTAGCTTGTCAATTTCAGCTTTTTTGTGTTTCCTCTTTGCTTTTCAACAATCTGGTTGTCAAGGAGAGGTTGCACTGCTGTAGGGATTAGATTTCACCCCCCTGACCACACATACACACACATAAACTGTATTAACATAGACCAGGTGATAGAGCTAAACTCTCATCATTTATCAATGTAACAAAACTCTTTAGCTGAACATATTTTACACCACAAAAATGGTTATGGTAGCCAGACTCTAACAGTTGGTGGTGTGGGCTTTTATCTGTGCCTTTAAGGATAACTAGGTGGAAGTTGGTGAGAAGGCTCTGGAAAAGGTCATGCAGAGTTCAGAGGCTGCCGGGGGGTGAGGGATAGCCATGGTGAGGGGGCTC